TTCACGCTGCTCCTAAGGCAGGAGGTGCACATCTGGATTAAATCTCCTATTTACGTTAGCACCTGAAAATACAGTTGTTGGAAATCCCGTTGATCTGCCCTGGAATTCCTCTGAATTCCCCCTGTGTAGGGCAGTTTAGGAAGTCGTAGCTGGAGCGGGTGTGCCAGCCTTAGGGGAAAAAAAGGAAAAAAATAGCTGTATGTGAGCTTAATACAGCAAGTTGATTTTTTTTTCTTTCGGGGCCGGGCCCTGGCGTTTCGTTTTGCCCGTGCTGAGAGGCGGGGAGGCGGCGAGCTGCGCTCGGGAAATAACCCGGTCTCCCCGCTCGCCAGGAGGGCAGGGGCAGCCCTGCAGGTAGCAGCCAGTCCCCCGCGCCGGCCATGTCCAGCTGAAGGGAGGTGACTCGCTGCGCAGGCAGAATGGCGCCGCTGGCAGGACGAGGGGACAAACCGCGTCAAGCCTCTCGCCGTCCCAAGGGAGGCGTTTGCTGCCTGCCACAGCACCCCTGCAAGGCACCATCCGCCCTCCTTGGATGAAAAGAGCCGCTCCTTGGGCCGCGGGCTCTGAAGCACGCCCCGTTGGCTGAGTAAAATAAATAGATGCTGATAAAACTGCACATGATCTCTCGTGGAGGGGTTTCAGCCCATGGTGCTTTAAGTAGCTGGTGGCAGATCATCTGTTTCAGAAATCACTGGGTCCACCTTGGAAATACACATGTAGTTATATCATAAAAATCGTTGTTACACTTGCTCCTTCCTGTTAGCTGTTAGTGACTGAAGTTGCAAACTTCAGTAATACTATATACTAATCACCTGTAATACTCATTTTACAGCTCAGTTATTTCTGGCACTAGGAATGCTTAACATTTTAATAAAAACAGCACATTTACTGTAAACTTTTTTTTTTAAAAAAAGGGGGTTCTTAGACTGAACCTTTACATACAAAATTTCAGTTTCTCTCTCTATATAGGTGCCTATATATTATAGCGAGATTATTACAGTCTCAGTAATGGAAGTATTAATGGAAGCATTAATGGAAAAATTAACCCAACTTAATTATGATACCGGTAAGGGCAATCATAAGATGACGATGTTTACAAGCAAACCTATGCATAAGGATGCCATAATTTATTTCCATTTTTAATACTGCTATGAAGGTTAATTTATGTTCGAAAAACAAACAAACAAACAAAAAAAGTAAAGGCAAAAAGTAACCTGGTTTCAATTACATGCAGCAGAATCGTTAGTAGGCCAAGGAATAACTTGGATTTTTTTTTTTTTTTTTTTACTGAGGCAGCACTATAAGAGCATGAAACATACAGAATTTTATTATGTCTCTCCTGGTTCTTTAAATATGAATTAAAGTAGGTATTTGTTTTATCTGTCTACTTTTAAAATTAATTTTCCATTCCAAATTTATTTTCCAGTGATCGCCATATGTATATATAGACATTGATTAAGGGTTCCCAAATTGATTAGAAATATTGGATACTAAAAATTTTGGCTGGGGAAATCACGTGCTATTAAAAGAATGCCAAAACTTGGGCTCTGGAGAATCAAGGTTCCCCAATTTAGCAGTTTGTATGGACAAATGGGGACCAGTTTTGGCTAACCCAAACCATTTCCAATGTATTTGTTTTATGACAGATTTATGATAAAAATAAAACTTCTGTTTTTACTCACACAACTAATATTCAGGTCAATATTACTGTGAATAAGAATCTGCAGGACTGGCTCTTGAGTTTGCCTCACATACTACCATTAGTTGAGAATCAAATATAGCTTTGTGACTATAAATACCTCTTCAAGTGTGATAAATTTTCTCATGCTGATTTATTTTACTTTCTTTTGTCCTTTGCAAATTCACATAGTTACATAGTGACAGTCTTCTGTTCACAAATACATTGATAAAAATATATCCAAATAAATTTAAAACATTGCTTACAGTATCATTAAATATATTGCGAATAGCGGTAAGCTGTGTCTGCCAATTACACCATAAAAAACGGCTTGCATAGTACTAGATTTTCCGCTAAAAGTACCACATAGCTCAGGATTTGTGCTAAGCACTAAAATAACCAGAATCAACAGGAGAATGTTAACTTAAAGTGAAGCAGTAAAGCTAGCATCTGTAAGGGAAATGAATTGGATTTCACAATGTGTGTGTGTGTGTCATAGTGTTTGTAGGAGCAGTATCAGATAAGAATTTTTTTCATATAATACCGTATTTGCCACTCTTGAGTTCCAAAAGACTTTTAAAAATCAGTGTAAAATTTTTAAAAAGAATTTTCTTTTGTCTTACATATTTATCTCTTTCAGACTTTGGATGGCTTTGTTTTTGTGGTAGCATCAGATGGCAAAATAATGTACATCTCAGAAACAGCATCAGTACATCTTGGCTTATCACAGGTATGAGCAATATATTTTGTCTCTCTGTTAAATAATGATAGTAGATTTGGAAGTTATGTAAGTATCTTGCCATATATACAAAATCATTGGCTTTTAGGGATATTTGAAGCTTTGACTTCGTTCTCTGATAAATGGCCTTACTTAAATATTTGAGTTTCTTTCACTTCAGCCACATCATGATCATCGTTACATCTTTTTTGTTGTTGTTCATTGTATTTTACTCCTCATTACCTTTAAGAAGGGTAATAAATAATACGATATTGCAAATTGCAGATATATTCTGAGCTTGAAACCCAAACCCATTGCCTGTGTGGTAATGCTATATGTCTGAAATAAAGTTTAGAATTCAAGTCTATATGTTTTAGATGGTGTAAGATATTGAGACTTGCTATGAAATAGAGAGGAAATCTGATGTGGAACATGAGTTTTATGGTAAATGTGTTTTTGGAAAAAAAGAAAAAGGGGGCAGATTTATGAGTGCTCACATGGAATTCAGGGTAATTTTTCCTGAGTTTTTCCAGCTCAGTGGTCTTTTCAGTAAAGCGTTTTATATGGTTGTGATAGAACTCATAAAACTCAAGTTTACTACTGTTCTGCACAAGAAGTATAAGGGGGTTTTATTGTTTTTTCTTTTTTTTTCTTTTCTTTTTCTTAGAAGGATATTTCTAAGTTTTTGCCTTCTTTGAATAGGCACAAGGACAAAATGACATGTATTTATTGCAGGGTACAGGTTTCCATACCTTTGTGTGGAAATGTATTCCACAAATTCATCTGTAACACCTGATCTAAAACTTGCCAAAGTCAGAAAGAAAAACTAATTAATTTCACTTGGCCCTGGACAAGACTTGCAAGAAAGAGAACTATCTCTTCAGAAGCAGTTGCAGCTACTTCTCAGAATTAAATAAAGTCAAATTAAGAATAAATAGCAAAGAGAAGATGAAGGTGAGAGAGGGCAAGATGTTCTGCTTCAGGCAAGACTGAAAAAGTCTGTTCAAGATGCACTATTTCCATAAGCAGAGAAGCAGCTGAGTTTGTGCAGGTTGTAGTGTTACTTCAACTAAAGTAGTACTTATTTTTTTGAATGAAAAGTTGTAAAGCACGTTGGATGTGTTTCTATAATAGCAGTATTAGAATTAGTAGTTATAAGAAAAGCAGAACTCTAAATAGCTAGAAAAAAACAAGTGTATCAACTTACCATTTCTAAATGCAAAAGCAATTTATGTTCCCTGTTTTTAATCCCTTTTTGAAAAAGTAATTTTGAGAATCCGTGCTCTGTGTAAATACCTTTTTTTTTTTGTGGCAGGTTAAAAAATGTGTTTAGGGAACATTCGTAGTTCAAGCAATTTCTTCAGTTGAGTCTGCTACAGTATAGTATTAGTTGTTTCATAACATTTAATATATGCTTAAATAACTTTAAATATTACCTTGCTTTAGAATAAACTTTCCTAAACTACAGCCATGTTTTCTTTTCTGATTCAACGGCTTCATTAAACGTTTTTCTTCCCCTAACTTTTTGAAGAGACCTACCATAACTGCTTAACTAGATTCACTTAAGCCGTACAATTATTCCAAAGCACAAAGTGTTCCCACTTCTCTTTCTGAAGTAGTTTAATTCTCCCATATTGTTTGCAGTTTGGTAAATGGTAACCGTTTTTCTAGATTTTGTTCAGAAATTGTCTTTATTTTTGTTTTTCTTTTGGAGGAGTCTTCTGATCTTATAGGTCTCAGTGTTATACAGGCATCCGATGAAATTAAAGAACTGTGAGATCAGTAGGACAATAAATAGACTATGCCACATTAAAGGAGAAGGGAATGAAAGCATCATACAGGCTTTAGTCATGCTTAACTCATACGGCACTATGGCCTTTTGCACAGACCGAATTCCCTGTGCGTTGCTCAGGTAAATCTGTATAATCTTCTGCTGTAAGAGTTTTGCTGAGGGAAAAAAAAATAAATAAAAGAGGACTTGCTGATATTGTTGGTTTAAATAAGCTTAACAGGCAAATTCAAAAATACTTCACTATAGCAAAGGTGTGTAAAGAAATTGGATATACTCTTGAATTTCCCAGAAAACTGTAGATCAGGGAGGACAGAAAGATGCAAAATTTAAGGGTGTGTTTTAGATACTTAAAGCACTAAGTGCTTCAGACATTTCACAGCACACAGGATTTATTTATGAATACAATAAAACAGCTAAACAAGGTTATTTTCCGCCCTCTTTCCTCCTATTGTTTTATCATTTAGTCTGCTCTTACAATTTCCCAATCCTTTATTTTTCAAGGGACAATTTTTCTTTAAACAATATTAGGATTAATAGTAGGATAATTCCTACATACTGAGAAATTAATATAGGGTATTCCTGTAAGCTTCCTAGGGCTCTAAATGAGTTCTTTTTCCTACTTCTCTGGAAATCACTGGGAGTTTTGCCACTGCCATCAACAAGAATGAGATTGGTCTCTAGAAGCAAATTCTGCAAGTCTCCCTCCCCAAAGTTATAATCCCGCACTATATTTTCAACAAGAGCTCTTACAGAGCTCCAGCCAATACAAGCTGAGACCAGAGTGATGATGATTGTAGAAAATCTTTTAGCGTGTACATAGAAAGGCCTTTTTATTAATAATTTTGACAATTAACTAGTCTACACATCAATTTCCAGTTAAAGTGTAGTTTGTTTAAAAAGATATATTTAGACTAAATAAAAAGTCCATTTAAAATATTTACAAGATATTCTTGGAGACCTACTACAGTAGTCTTTATCTTCTAGTTGATTTTGAATTTAACTTTAGCAGCAAGAATGTACAGCTTCTGAATAACCCTTCAGTAGCCAACAGGGTTAAGCTAGTTAAAAATGTGGACACAAAAAACATAAAGGTTATGTTCTTACGTCCTGTTTTTCACCACTACTTCACTCTTTTTGACAGCACAGACAGAAGCATCAGAAATAATATTTCTGAAAAGGCAACATCTTCATTTGTGGGTCTGTCACTTAATTTGTGGGTTTGGATTTTGATCATCTGTTCCTCTGCACTGTATTAACACATACTGAAGGCTGGGACCCTTTCCTTCATCTAGTTTTAATCGGCCTCAGACCAGTGTCAAACTGACTTGTACCAGCTCAGATAGAGCCAATTCCTTGCTTCATTTTTTCATGGATAACAAATAGATTCAAATTCCCCTAATATTTTTTCCACTCGAAGTCCAGAAACCGAATGAAGAACATAATTCTCTTAGGAAACAACAGTGAAAGATACATATTTTTTTTAATTTTGAGAGCCTGGACTTTATTCCAGCCATTTTCTGGGTCCACGGGGGAGCTAACCTTATCTTTGACTTTTTTGATAAATCATGAAGCATTTAACCACAAACATCTGAACTTTTCCAGAGTTTATTTTACTTTCATCAAATAAGTATATGAAAGGCGAAATATGTAATTATTTGCTCTAGAATCCATCTACTCAGTCCTCTGTGTTTACTATGAATCATTTCTTGGCAGGAAGAAAACGTGCAGCTGAGTTACACATAAAAAAGCTCTTACTAGGAAACAGCGCTATTTGGTAGTAAGCAGGTATTTACAGATATTAAAAAGCTGTGCTGAGGAAGCAGCCTTAATAAGCCTGAGGCGTGAGGTTTTAGGAAGTTCATGAATTGAACCATATAATTTATTTTTTTAAGTATTCACTATTTCACTGTAGGCTTTAAAACAGCAAATGTCCACTACGCCTAGCAGGAGATTGCGGTCAGTTTTGAAATTACATATACATATTTTGGTTATTTGACTCCTGCTTAGCCCCCGTCTTTTTGCAGACAGCTTTATGTTTCCGCTCGCATTTTTACAATCAATTTTGTTTCATCATTGGACGTTCACCCCAAACTGATTTTGCTGGGGCTGCAAATGCATGCATCCTCGTAGAAAGACTTCCTATGTATATATTATATATTAAGAAAAAACAGTCATTAGTTTGACAAAGCACTCCAGGTTTGAATTTTAGATATAGGACCTGTGATGCAAATTACGTTTTGAATAAAACTGGGACCTTGAGCCCAGTCTTGTGAATTGCGTGAACAAACATGTACACCTGAGAGCAGTCCTTCTGAAATAAGGAACTACTTTTGGAAAAGCAGGAGATATCACAAGATACAGATTTTAAGAATAGATGCACATTAATGTGATTATGAATATAAGCAGTACTAGCAGACATGCGATGATATCTTTTGGAATTACTATAGCTGATAGCTCTAGTCCGGCTGGTTGTTGGTGTTTTTGTAACAACGTCTGTATATTGAAGGGAGAGATGGTTGAAGACAGCTACCGATAATGTTAGTCTGTAAACTGTATTCTTTGATGCAATGCCTTTAATATCAGAGGCAAAATATGCTCTTCAGCAGTACAATTTTTAGCCAAAGTCAAAATAGTAAGAACAGGAATACATTCCTTTCAATTTGAATACTGACGCTAGCTGAGTGGCCACTCCAGTGGCAGTTTTTCTTGTTCTGGTTTACTAAGCATATAGCCCAGTGAAATACCCATCACCATAAGAATCACAATATATTTCTTGAGAAAAATCATAGTTTTGTGTGTCTATAGATGATTATGATATTTACAGAGACAGCTGTGGATGCTTCTTTTCTTTCATATAATTACAAATGAACAGAAGCACTGAGAAGAAGCATGACTCAGAGTGAGACTGGGCATTCTCTTCCCTCCCCCGCCACTAAAGCTTGAATATAGAGTGTTACTATAACAGGTTCCCACCTGTTATAATCCTGAACAGGAACAGTCAATACTTTTTAAGGAGAACTCTTAGAGAATATGATATAAACGAAGCAACATAATTAAATATCTGGTTCTCTCTTTCATTATTTTTTTCCTTTTTCTTTCCAAATAAAAGAGGACTCCTTTCCCTTTCATTTTCCTTTCCCTTTCTTTCTCTTCCTTGCTTGTTTCCTTTTTCTTTTTCTTTTTCTCTTTGTCTTTCCTTCCTTCCTTCCTTCCTTCCTTCCTTCCTCTTTCTTTTTCTTTCTTTCTTTCTTTCTTTCTTTCTTTCTTTCTTTCTTTCTTTCTTTCTTTCTTTC